GGAGGTTGAGGCAGGAGAATGGCGTGAACCTGGGAGGCGGAGCTTGCAGTGAGCCAAGATTGCGCCACTCCAGCCTCGGGGACAGAGCAAGACTCTGTCTCAAAAAAAAACAAAAACAAAAACAAACAAAAAAAGAGGATGTCAATAACTATGAAATGCATAGAAAAGAATACAGCTGAATGCACATCAAATTGTTGATGGCAGTTTCTCTAAGCAAGGGCATAGGAGGAGGGGCAGGCTGTGGTGAAGATGAACTTTTCTTTTTTAACTTTTGGTTTGTTTTGGTTTGGCTTAAGTATACATTCCTGTATTTCTTGTATAATTAATAAATGGAAAGATCCGTAGATGAATAAGTGCCTTGTAACGTCAGACATTCTTTAATGGAATGAACATGTGGCACGTGGATCTTTGGGAGTCTGGGTTGGATTTTTGGGATCCTAAGGGCTCCTTTCGATCTCAGTTAACATGTCATAGTTTCTGGTCCCTGACTTAGTTCATCTCTGTGTACCCTCAGCCTATGGAGGAAAAAGGCCAAAATCACCTCCGTGTCATTGAAACGGCGAGGCTCCAGGCATGGGTTCCACCCGACCACCTGGGGAGACGGCATGAAGTCCAAAAATGGATAAATGGATGTTCTTGTAAAGTTGAATCCATGAATGCCATCTTCTGGAAACACTATAATCTGTACACCCTGAAAAGGAAAACATCAAAGAATAGTCTGTTATGAGACGATGGGAAGACCGCTGCATTCGTTCATTCTTCTGTTCATTCACTCGGCAACCATCACGAAGCTACTCTGTACCAGAACTGGACACACAGAGGAGGTGTCTTTACTCTCTTCAGAGACCTTAGTCTTGGGGATGCTGTCTCGCTTCACCTGATCCCCAAGGAACAAAGACAAAGTCCTCTAGGAACAACCATTAACTGTGCCTGGGGTCATGTGAGGGAAGGAGGGAATGAAAGTAAGCTCAGGAGTTTGACAAGCAAATAGCTAGAAAGGATTTAGAGTTCTTAGGGCACCAGGGGAGATGGGGCTGACTACAGGGCCTTGAATACACTGGGCCCATTAACACATGTGGCATCTTCGGTCTGGTGGTTGTCAACTTTCATTGTGCATCTAAATCAGGTGGGGAACTCCTGAAAAGCACTGATGCTGGGGCCCTCCCCTGCGAAGTCTGATTTAATTGACTGTGGGTGGGATACTGGCAACAGTGTTTGTTTAAAGGCCCCCTGGGTGATTCTCATTTGTAGCCAAGGTTAGGACCCACTGGGCCAGTGGGTAAGACGCAAGTGTGTTGATCTCAGCCTGGAAACAAGAACTCACTTGAAATCTCCATTCCCCAGCTGGGAATTAGGAGGCTCCCTTTGGGACTCTGGCCACCCTAAAGGCCTTTTCCCACACCTGGTAACATCCTGTGCTTCCTGGCTGTGATGGCCTGGGGCTCCCTGTGACATTTACAGCAAGCTAAAAAAATACAAACAAACAGGGCAGCCCTCAGCTCTCAGGGCTGGGGCGTCATTCTTCCACTGCTCTCCACTTACAGGGTTTAAAATGTCAAGCCGGGAACACCAGCCCCAGGGAGGAAGGTGGAGAAGGCAGGCAGAGAAGGCATGAATCATTCAAATTAGCAAAGTTGGAGACACTTATTTCTGGAATACATTGCAAACTTTTAAATTTTTTTCCTGGTTATAAAAGCTTCAAAACTTTAAATGTAGAAAATTTGGAAAATGGGAAAAAAATCATAATTCTATAACAGATACTTATTGTTAATATTTTGGATATTTTCATTATTTTTTCTCTCTCTGTATACCTGTATATGTGTATATAATGGACATAATAATAAATATATGGTTTTACATCTTGACTTTCCTCATTAAAAATACGACCTTTAAAAATACGACCAAGCATGGTGGCTCATGCCTGTAATCCCAACACTTTGGGAGGCCCAGGTGGGCAGATCACCTGAGCTCAGGAGTTCGAGACCAGCCTGGCCAACATGATGAAACCCCGTCTCTATTAAAACTACAAAAATTAGCCAGGCATGGTGGTGTGCACCTGTAATCCCAGCTACTCGGGAGGCTGAGGCAGGAGAATCACTGGAACCTGGGAGGCGGAGGTTGTGGTGAGGTGAGATCACTCCATTGCATTCCAGCCTGGGTGATAGAGTGAAGCTCAGTCACACACACACACACACACACACAGACACACACAAACTTTCAAAAATACATTTGTAATAGGGCCACATCATATTTAATAGGACGCCGTAGTTTACCCTCTATTATTGGAATTTGAAGTGTCCCCAACTTTTTGTAATAAAAAGAAAACTGTGGTAACCATCTGCATAGTGTGCCTAAAACACTTATTGCATAATTATATACTTCACACAAATCTTTGATTGCATCTCTGATTATTTCTTTGGAAGAAAGTCTTACAAGTGAAATTACTCGGTCAAAGGGTATAAAAATTAGAGTTTTAAGTTTTGTTTTGTTTTCTGAGAGACGGTCTTGGTCTGTCGCCCAGGCTGGAGTGCAGTGTTGTGATCTCGGCTCACTGCAACCTCCGCCTCCTGGGTTCAAGTAATTCTCGTGCCTTAGCCTCCTGAGTAGCTGGGATTACAGACATGCGCCACCACACCTGGCTAAATTTTGTATTTTTAGTAGAGATTTTTAGTAGAGATGGTTTGAGACCATCAGGCTGGTCTCAAACTCCTGACTTCAAGTGATCCGCCCGCTTTGGCCTCCCAAAGTGCTGGGATTACAGGCATACGCCACAGCACCTGGCCTAAAAATTAAACTTTTAAGTTCTTAACACACACCGCCAAACTGCTTTCCAGAAATATTATACCAATGTATGTTCCTTCCAGTACAGTATCATCTCATTGCACACTTAGCAATGAACGTGTAAAGAAAAATTATCACAAACCTAAAAATAAGGCAAAGATGGAGATGCAGGCTTTCCAAATTATACTAGGGTATTGTTTAACAGGCTCACTCCATTATTCTTTAATTAGCTACAGAATGTACCACTGTTTGACTTTGTTATTTAAAAGATCACCTCAAAGATTACAATTGTATTGCCCTATAGGACATTACCCAGTTTTGCATCTATTAGGAAATTCATTTCAACAATCAGTGGACTGACTGATATACACATTTCCATTCCTCAAATTTTCCTTTGAACCAGCTTTACCATCTTACTGGTTCCTTAATTAATGCATTAAATAAAAGCTTTATTCATTCTATATTTGCATGAGTCATCTTTTCAGATTTTTGAAAATTATAGTTGGATAGACATTTTTCTTTATTAAAAACAAAACTTTGAGAGCACCGAATGGTCCTTCACGGAGAAGAACATTGAAATTATGTATACATACTAGATTATTATCAACCAGGAATGAGGAGAGGAACCAAACCTGAGCTGGGGCACAACTTTGGGTCTGATGTGATGAGGATATCTAGGAAGTAATTTGCATTCCTGATAAATGGCTTCAGCAACTTTCTGGTAGACCTCAATGAGATCAAGAACCCCTTCCTTCTGAGGAATGAAGGTTACAAACCCAAGTGACTGCCCAGCCGAATCACCTTGAAACTGGACTCTGTTTTTCCCCTATGAATACCTCTACTGAGACAGAAATATAGTCATACACTGCATAATGACAGTTTGGTCAATGACAGACCACATATGTGATGGTGGTTCCATAAGATTATAGTACTGAATTTTTATTGTACCTTTTCTATGTTTACATACACAAATGCTTACCATTTGCTACAACTCTACAGTGTTCAGTGTAACATGCTGTAAAGGTTTGTAACCTAGGAACAATGGGCCATACCATGTAGCCCAGGTGCATAGTAGGCCCTACCATGTAGGTTTGTGTAAGTATATGCTATGAGGCATGCACAATGACACAATGGCCTAATGATGCATCCTTTCACAACATATCCCTGTCATTAAGCAATGCATGACGATATTTCAATTGGTTTGCTCAGGAACCTCTTATAACAACTTTGATATAAAACTTTCACACAAACTTGCTATCAATTTGTCTTAGAAGTTGCTTTAAAACATATAACCAGATTTGCTTAATACCCTGTACATATCTTTGATTTTCAACCCTCAGTACATGTGGCTTGGTCACTTTGTGGCTAAGGTAAGAAAGTGCTTATGGAAGACAAGTCTGTGGCTTGGTGAGCCTGCGTGGCCAGCAGTCTCTGATCTGTGCAGGGTATTAATGTGTCAGGGTTGCGTGTTCTGGGATTTCTCTAGAGACTGGCAAGGGCTCCTGAACCAGTAGTTTCTGTGCTGCTGGTCTGTAAGGGTTGGAAAGTCCAAGACTTAGGACCCAGCTTCCTTTCTTAGCTGATGTTTTTTGCCAGAACACCATGGGCTGTTACTTGTCTGAGTTGAAAGTCGTTTGCATTTACTCCTGTAAATGTATTCATCCTTTTTAATTTATGTAAGGTTTTTCTGTATGCAATTCTCGATTCTTTAAAGAGAGGACAACAAATTACGGTTTTCTACTGTTATGTGAGAACATTAGGCCCCAGCAACACATCATCGTGTAAGGAAAAATAAAAGTGCTGCTGGAAAACAAACCAACACAAAACATAGAACCAGGTATGGGAACTGAGATATCTGTAAATTCTAAAAGTGATCACATCAACAGCTTCATCCTGGTCCTGGAAAACAAATAGAGACGGAGTGATGCTGTGCAGCTGGCGTGGGTTCAACAAAACCGTGTTAAGTGCTTCCTTTGGGGGCAGGTTATGGAAAGGTGAATGCAGGAGAATTCTACAGTCACAGTCTGGGTTTCAGTGTGTCATTGGCCAAATGTCTCAGAATGGTCCGGTGGACAGGGGAGGGAAGCAAGAGGCAGATGACATTTCAGGTGCTGGACTCAGTGCCATGCAGGCAAACATCTCTATCAAGAGAATGCCTGCCCTCTAGGAGATCAGTGTCATCAGGAGGTCTGAGGGCATAGCCTGGGTTTTTTTTACACTGACTTCAGCATAGACATAAATGAGGTGTGTATCAAATGTGTGAATGACGTCAAGGTAACTGATACTTGGGATGTCAGTAAAGATCCCTAAATAGCCCAATAGGCTGGAATGATGAAATTTCACAGCATAAATGTGAAGTCTTGCCCTCAGCTTAAATCAATCACCTTTATAAGTACAGGATGGCAACGGCAGCATGTGTGTCTGCTCGTGTGAAAAGGTGTTTTAGTTGACAGCAAATGCCTTATACATAACCCACAGTGAGACGTGTGGCTGCCAGCGGTTTGCTGGGGACAACATCTAGAATGAGACAGGTGAGAATTCTCCATCCTGCCCTTGTTAGAATCGGGAGAGCTACATACAGTTCTGAGCACAGAGAACACGTGGAAGTCTTTAGTAGAAGGTTTGGAAACTAAGTCTCCTAAGGAACTGTGGAAGAGACAGAGGATATAGCCTGGGGGACAGATGCTGGGGGTCACGACAGCTGCCCTCAAAGGTGGAGAAGATGGCATGCCGCGGTAAGGGACACGGCCTGCTCCCTTTAGCTCTGAGGACGGAATCGTGGTGGCAGTTACGGGGAGGCTGACTGCTGCTCATTGAAAGGAAGACCTGTCCAGAAGTTCCCACCATTGGAACAAATGGTCCTGTGAGACTGAGAGTTCTGAGCCACTGAAGGTGTTCAAGGAGAAACCGTACATCAGGTTGGAACTAAAGAAAAGTGTCACCCTTGCAAAAGTTGATCTTGGTTGAAAAAAAGAAGTGTCACCCATCAGAAGCTGGACCAAGTCTTCAAGTTGCCTTTCAACATCATGTTATACACACATACATACCCCCCAAAATCACCCCCAACCCCGCACACATAGCCTTTGTACATGTATTTATAGACTAAACTTTTAAAACGTAGCACTTTTTTAATTGCTGTGGCTGTCCAGGCCATCCTGACCGCCCTGCTCTAAGGCAGGGACTGTTTGGGGCAGGACCTGCCGGCAGGGCAGGACCTGCTGGTTCTGCCCTGTACGTTCCCAGAGAGCAGGAAAGCGTTGCTCACAATGAGTTTACATCCTGTTGAGGCACAGCAGAGCTTCCTCAAGCAGCTGCGCTTGGTCACCCTGCACCAGTTACAGCCCAAACTTCCCTTTGGGTTTGTGTTTTCCAGCAGGGCATTTTCTTAGGCAACCTCTGGCACCACATTTCCCTCTTTGCCCCCGGGGGGCCTCTCCTTTGTCCCCACCCTTCCTGGAGGGAGCAAGAAATTCAGGTCAACCAGGAAGCCTTCACAAAGGCTGGCACTGACCTTCCCTTTGTCAGTTTGGGGTCTGTTCTGTCTGGGCAAAGGTCTCAGACTGTTCACAGTCCGACATAGAGACCGGAAACGAGCCCCAAACAGTCTGAAGGGAGCAAAAGGCGTTCTTGCAGATGTTTACTACTTCAGTGAGGCTTTGAATGACTCAGAGAGGTCGTCACGCCCAGTCATCTTCAAATTTTTCTGCACATTAGACTGCCCTGGGGAGCCTGAAAACAATCCCAATGCCCAGTCCACACCCCTTCCACACCAATTACAACGGACTCTCTGGGACCCAGGCAGCCACACTGTTTACCACTTGTCTGGTGATTCTTATGTACAACCACACTTGCGAACCGGAGATCTAGTCCTGGGCTTCTCATACTTGCCGTGTTTGAAAGCATCACCTGGGGATCCCGCTAAAACGCACATTCTGATTCGGTAGGTCTGGGGTGCGCTCCAAGATTCTGCATTTCTTTTTCTTTTTCTTTTTTTTTTTTTTTTGAGACGGAGTCTCGCTCTGTCGCCCAGGCTAGAGTGCAGTGGTGCAGTCTCGACTCACTGCAAGCTCCGCCTCCCGGGTTCACGCCATCCTCCTGCCTCAGCCTCCCGAGTAGCTGGGACTACAGGCGCCCGCCACCTCGCCCGGCTAGTTTTTTGTATTTTTTAGTA